CAGAGCCTCCCACGTGGTGTGGGGTAGTGGGGGGCAGCAGGGATCGCCCTCCCACCTGGCAGCACCTGGTGAGTGGGGCCTTTTTTAAAACAACAGGGAGCTGGGGCAGGCAGGGCAGCCATGGGGGTGGGGCTGGGGGAGCAGGCAGGGACTGGGGCCTGGCAGGGGGCCCCCCATGGTCCCCTCCCCCGCCCCCTACTTATCAGCTTGGTGTCCAGGTCCAGCTCCCTGCTGCAGACAGTGGGGACTTCAAATGGATTCAGACCTTTTAACTGGTTCCCTGATTCGAGTTGAATTCGGAGATTCAGTCACTGAATCAGGCCAAATCTCCTCTGAATCGAATCAGTACCCAAAGGTTCACACACCCCTACTGTAAAAGCTCCAGTATGGAATAAAACAAGCCCCTGGCTTAATGGCTCATGGCTTGTACTGATGCCAACCTATTCAGACAAACACTTGTAAACAGAACATATTCTGTCTCTGTCCACCAGAAAAAAATTATTCTCAAATCTGGTACTTCACACAAACGCACCAACACACACACACAGAGCTCTTGAGAGTACTAGTCACTGTCCACAAGGAAAATCTCCACGCTTTCAAAGGCAAGTTTCCATATGGAATTAAATAATTGTTAAGAAGAGGCCCCAGTCAAACCCTCAACTTTGGATCTCAGTTTACAGTTGTTAGTATTTAACCCACTAGAGAAAACACCAAAAGTGAATCCAAATTTTAAACCGAATTTGTCAGCACTCAAAGCTGGCCCTTGATTTTTCCCATGACAGAGGTACAAGAACAGATTCTCTTCTTGCTTACACCAGTGGAATGGCATTCACTTCCAGAGAGTTCGTTCTGATTTACATCAGGCGAATTAAGAGGAGAAGCAAGCCAAAGTGAGGGTCCAGAGCAGGGGTTTGGAACAAGGCCACCTTTAATGATATATATTAAAAAAACCTGTTTTAGTCCACTGCCATATAGATCTTCTTGCCAGTGAGCATTTCATCTTCTCTGGAAGTCTGTTCGTTTCCCACCTCTGAATGGGCTATGCCTGCATAAGAATCTACTGGGAAGGAACAGGGCCTTACTGGGCTCTCATTCACTGATGCAGAGCTGCCAATTCTCATGGTTTTTTTGTTGCAAATCATGCAGTGTTTGGTGACTTGCCTAGAGCTCTAGATCCTGGAATCACACTGAAACACGGAGATCTGAGGTTTTTTTATTTGTTTTGTCAAATGAAAAGTGTCTGACCCTCATGATTGTGCAGAAAAGCTTCAAAGTTTGATCCCTATAGGTTCAAAGCCTAGAGAGCAAATAAACTCCACATTTATTGATTTTAATCTGGCTTTAAATGTTTTTAGCTGTTGGACCTGACGGTTCTGGGGAGGAAGTTTTGCAGGGGACCCTGTGCCCACCACTACAGAGTCTAAAGTGATGTCCATTCTGCTCTCTAAGGTGAGCCAACACATGAGGACTCTCCTCACTTTTCCCTTTGTTATCAGGCTGCTTCTTCCACACATCTGAACTACCACATTGCTTTTGCCACCCTTGGCTTCCCTCCTCCCTTGTCTGAAGGGCAACTCTTCTGGCACCAGATCCTTTTGAGGTCCACATAAGCACACAGTACAGTGAGATAAGGCAAAAGGCCTTAAACCAGGAGAATGGGACAGAAGAATGGCAAGCTGGAGGAAGCTCCCCCCTTCCTGTTTTGCCCTTGGCTCCCTTATATGAAGGAAGCTGGCAAGGGTGAGAGGCGCTGAGAGTGTTTCCCACTTAAAAGTTTCCATTCAGCCTGTCTGTGCTTTTTTTAAACTGCAAAACAACAGAGATGAAAATAAAAAGACTGTGAATAAGTGGAAGTCGGTGCAGAGTAAGCTGGCGTGCAAAATGACAGCACACTGGCTGCTAGGGCCTTGTGCAAACACTCCTAGCGCAGGCTAAGAGCCAAGGCCTCGCTCACCTTTATGCACTTACGTGGCGCTTAGGTTGCTGTGTAAGTGCAATTATTGGCACTTCTGCAGAAGTTAGATTCTGTTTCTGCTTGCACAGCTGCACTGGCCTCTGGAACGCGCGCCGAATGCTGCACTCTGGCTGTAGAGATTCCCTCTTCCCCACCCTCGGCTTAGTTTCTGGCCATTACATAGGTCTCTAGGCCATCAGGGGAAACAGAATCTGCAGACGCAGCATTTACACATGCATTTAAGGGCCACTTAGGCCCATGTAGGTGAAATAGGGTTTGGCCCCAAGCGTGTGGTGGCTGCCTCCTCTTTGAGTAAAGCACCTTGCACAAAAGGTGCCTCTTATCCACCCAGGGAATTAAGGCAAAATGGTTAGTCAACTGTCACTTCACCCCAAAGTTTGCATGCACTGACTTCCATGTGCTGATGAGCCAAAGGTTCTCCCTAATGGAAGAAGAAAAGGGTGAAAGCAGTGTCAGAGACAGATGCAAGCACACAGTCTGCTTCCCCACCAGAGCAGCTAGACAACATCCAGGAGACAGGAGACTCTGGTTGCCCCTGAGCACTAACAGGGCCTTGTGGCACCACCCAGCAACACCTCAATGCTAGTGCATGTGGCTAGTGCCCCCTCCCAGGACAGCTGGAGGCAGGTCTGAGGAGCTTTCTCAGTTAGATCCCTCAGCCATCCTCAAGGCACTCCAGGATGCATAAGCAAACAGATGGCTTCAGGTGCCTTCATGCTTGGCCCACACTATCCCTATCTACACCAAGAAGGAACTGGGGCAGGACCTGTGTCCCACTGGTTCTGCCATATCCCCTATATACTCCTTGTGGGTAGTCAGCAGTGATCAGCACCAATGCAGAGGAAAGGAAGCAGAATTCATCTTAGTTCAAGCTGTTGCCTTCCTGCATCTTCACACACCATGTCTACACCCTTTGCTTTTTTAGTTGGCCAGCATTCATTTGCCCATGTAATCAAGGGGCAGGTGACCTGAGCTAGGATTGCATCCTCCAGGAAATCTGGTACAATATGGGCACTGTTGCAAACTTCCTGCTTCCTCTAGCAAAATGCCCTGAGAGTTGGTACAGAGCACCAGCACCAGGTGTTCTTCAATTCATGGTTGCTGTGAAAGTTAGGAATGCACAGCAAGGCTAAGCCCAAGTGAAGCAGCCCCCTCTATATGTAAAAAGGATAAAACAATGATTGGGTGTCCTAGGAAAAGACCCCAGGATTTCAAAGAACCTTAACAGAAAACTGATTATGCTGCATACTGCGCTGCATGCTGAACTCAGTCCTCCCACTGATTTCAAATGGGAACAGGATTAGACTTGTAGACTTGCATTTTCAGAAGTGCTTCCCAGTTGGCTCACTCTGAACTGACCCCACTGAAGCCAAAGGCCAAGTGCTTTTGAAGAAATCAAAAAAAAAATCACACAACATGGCTCAAAAACTGGTGTAACCTTTGTCCTCCCTGCTAAGATAAGCAAGCGATGAGAGTCAGGAGCCTGGGATTTTATTTCTGGTCAGCCTGCAGCCAGTCCATCGAAGGTATTTAGGCACTTCAAGATGCAGAAAGGAGCTTCATGAGATTTTCTGAAGAGCATAGGTGCCTAATTCATTAATTTAAATGGTTGATTTTGAAAATCATACTAGATGCTTGTGTGCATCTTTATATACTTAAATACCCACGACAATTTGGCCCCATGAAACCTTGGACAAACTATTTAACTTCTAAGTGCTTTAGCGTTCCCTAAACATGTAGTAATATATATCTAAATGGGGTGTTGTTATGCTTAATCAATATTTGCAAAAGGTCCAAGATTCACAGTTGAAAGGAACTATAGAAATATAGTAGGCTCATCACTATGTTGTCCAGCTCAGACAAATGAGCCATGCAAAGAAAACGCTGAATGCTGTTTGGCCAGAGCAGGGATCAGCTGGTCCAGTGAACTTCCCCACAACAGGCTCTGCTGCACAGTAGGTGCACATGAGTAATGAAGAAGGGACACAGTGAGGTGGCGATTTCCTCATTTTGATGGTTCAAAACAGTCACAATCACTGTTCCCTTTATATAACAGACAGTATTTATCCAATTAAATCAGCTGTGCCCCAATGTTAAATTAAACAGGCATCTATTTTTAAATGTAAGCTAAAGAAGTCTCTATTCTAACATAGGCAGCCCCCATCATTATCTCTAGTGTTCAGCATTAATGCATTTGACCTAAGCCTCACTGGAATGAATATCTGCTTTAATGCTGCCGCTTTAGAAAGCTCAGGCTTCCACTACACAGTGCTCAGCCGCCAATTGTGAAGGCAGTGACTTAAATCCAATGTGCCAGTGTGATACAAGGGCTGCCAATCACAATCGCATCAGCCAGACTATTTTCTCAATGAGAGCTATGTTATCCAACGCCATGCCCCAGACTGCAAGTTTAAACAAGTACAAGGAGAAAAAACCCCCTTCCCATAACAGAAACTGATGGTGCCTATTCACAGCTTAGCTTCAGCCCCACATTTACAGCCAGCTGAGCACCAAAGACTGCAGAGAGCAGGAAACAAAGAGCACATGTAGCTTTTGAACCCCCGCCTGCTTGCTTTAGCTTGTGTTTTTCCCCCCATCCCCCATTACCTCGTGGAAAAACTCCAGGGTCCATGAAAGTTGCCATGCTGAAGTTTGCAAGTACAAACAAGAACACGAGCCCATTGTACACGGGAATGGCTGGGGAGATGGCTCTTGTTAACCACGGGCACCTGCAGAGAGAAAGTCACAGATGAGGGTTCTTTAGGATGTAACAAGTGGCATCTTCCTGTACACAATGTGCAAGAAAACAAACGGTCTTGCCAACCCCCCACAGGCCATAGAAAGGTTGAATTTGCTATTCAACAGTTGAAACAAAGATCATTGCTTATTAAAGTGCGCTTCATCTGTCCTCTGTAAAACAGCATTGTTCTGTAAGATAGAAAGGAGACCATTGTTTATGTGGCTCACAGGGCTCTTGTGCTATGCAATGATCCCCTTGTCTTTTTTACGGCCTGGCATTTCACTTTTTTTATGTAAACGCTGCACCCTGCCATGACATGCCTGTTATCCCCAGGATGGACAGTTACAAGGGTGTAAAGCAGGGGTGGGCAAAATGCGGCCCGCGGGCCACACGTGGCCCACCAGGCCATTCTCTCCAGCCTGCAGGGTCCCTAAAAAATTAATTTAAAAAAAAAAATATATATATATATATATATATATATGTCATGCAGCCCTCGATGGCTTGCCAAACTCAGCAAGGGGCCCTCCACCCAAAATAATTGCCTGCCCCTAGTGTAAAGCCAGATGACTTCCTGCCTTCAAGTCAGAGTTACTCCAGATTTTCACTGGTGTAAATCAGAGCCTGATTTTTAAACCATCAACCTCTGCACCCCACGCAGACAGACACACATCATTTCCACCAGGCTTCCTCCTCAGGCTCTCCTGTGAGAGCCTGCTAGTCTAAAATACCACTCAAGGTCACTACTGCAAAACCTCTCCCCATTAGGGAAGAAAAGGGTAAAAAGTTTCAGTCATAAGTAGTGAGGTCAGGAAAATACAAGCAAAATACTTAACATACTTTCCATAGCATCTATCCTGTAAACTGCTTTCCACAACATTTAAAAGGTGTGTCGCATTTCTGTTAGGCACTTGCACAGCTGGAGTATGAGGTAAAGGACAAAAGACAGGAGATCTGCAAAGCAGTGGAGAACCAAAGAGTTTCTTCTAGGACGCCTTCAAAAGAGACTGGCCTTGTGCTAAAGGGATGGGGGCACCAGGGCAGAACAGACTGCTTCCATAAAACAGAGATGACACTACAGGTAACTTTCCATTTTCAAGGCATGTGTTTATTCTTCCTACCATTTATTGCCTCTTAGAAACAGAACTCCAAAGCTGTACCATGTTCGATTGTATTGTGTGTACAGCCCTTTGTCCTTATTAGCTTGCTAGAAGGAAAAGCACACACTTTGGCTTTCTATACAGGAATACAAAATTATAAAACAAAGAATTCTTCCCAAAAAGCACGAGTCCTCACAACTGACAGTGTACCTACAGTCCTGACAACCAGGCATTCCCCCAGCCCTGCTGTGGGCACAGCAGCTTAATAAATGCCTTCCTGCCATTAGTACCAATCAAACAGCTGCCTATATCCAAGGTTATATTTTTCCTATGTTATATCTATATTTGAGCCACATTGTCTGTAAGGCTGAGCTCTATCAAAACAGTAATAACCATAACGTAACCAGTCTTTCCCCAATCTAATTCAAACCATTCTGTGCAAGACATGTAATTTATTTTAAATAGCTGAGAATGGTACTGTTGACCTTGGAGAATGAATACTGAACAGGCCCTCGTGCAGAACGACAGAGCCATTTTCACACTCCGTTCACTAGGGAATGGGGCAGTGCTCAGAGATACTTTTACACTCCCCTTCCCTCTGCACCCACTAGAACAGAACCAGGCTCGCCCCATTTTATTCTATAGACTGTCTTTAAAATAGGCTGCTACCAACTAAGCTGCAAGGCTAGGGACAGACATTACACATAAACTGGTTTAAGTGATCAGAAACTGGTTTAAACCTGTAACAGAACAGAAGCTCAGTACACATAAACTAGCTGCAAAATGGCTGAAACTGGTTTAAGATAAACCTGGTTGAATGTAGTATCAGACTTAAGAGATGTGAGTCAAGCCAGTTTATGAAACTTCTGTCCCAGACCCCTTCCTTGTTCAAGTTAAATCAGTCCCTCAGCATCCCAGCATGCTTTCCAGCCCAGGGCTTGGCTGAGCTGTCTGCTCCAGCAGAGAAGGGTTGAGGGGGAGGAAAGGGGAGGCAGGGACTGACCCCCAGTGTTTCCTTTAAGCTGCACAGTGTGCGCAACTATGCAGGTGCGCTCATGCTGTGTTGCAAGGTGCACCTGAGCAGCTGCGCACACTGTGCAACTTAGGGGGAACACTGCTGACCTCCCCCCCGCCCTGCCCAGCAAACTCCAGCTGGGGCCTGGGGCAGAGGATGGGGGTTAAGCCCACTTTTGCCCAAGTATAGAGTTGCCCTGCCCTGCTAAATTTACTGAAAGTTACTGCTGGCTGTGACTGTAGATTACAAATCCCAGAGGCACCAGGAAGCAGAAAGAGGAAGTGATGAGCAACCCTGCAGAGTCCGGCTTCTATGATTCTGGACTGCAAATCCCAGGGAACTTGGTGGCATCAAGGGGGAAGGGAGGTTTAACCCTCCTCCCTGGCCCCAGCCCCCAGCTGGGGTTTGCCTTGGTGGGGGCAGTTCTTGCCTCCCCACCACAACCCTTCTCTGCTGGAGACAGCACAGCCCAGCTCAGGGCTGAAAAGCATGCTGTGATGCTGGGGGACTCTGATTTAACTTAAACCAGCAAGGGGTCTTGGACAGACATTGCATAAACTGGTTTGACCCAAATCAGTGAAGTCTGATACTACATTCAACCAGGTTTATCTCAAACTGGTTTCAGCCATTTTGGAACTGGTTTATGTGCACTGAACTTATGTTCTGTTACAGGCTTAAACCAGTTTCTGATGACTTAAACTGGTTTATGTGTAACTTCTGTCCCTAGCCTTAGACAGTCTGCAACCCCCAGTGATCTGCAGACCATGGGTTGAAAGCAACTGCTCTAGTTCAATTATCCAAACATATAACTGGGTTTTCTTATTTATTCTCCACACCTTTTACTTTGAAGATATCTTCTCTTCAGTACATGCATTTCCAAGAGCAGTAGCACTAGGGTATGGGCCAAACCTAAATAAAATTCCCTTAAAAATGTTAGCAATTCAGGTAAATGGAATTTGGATTCAAGCCATACCTATCTTTATTTTGCAAAGCTAACATTTCAATGGAAGGCCTTAAAAAAAAAAAATCACCATGTCTGTTATCATTGAGGTTAGCTATATATTTTTTAAGCACTTTACCAATATTAGATATTCTTCACAGTATCCCCAAATATTAACCCCAATTTATAGACAGAAAAACTTGTATAAAGTAGCAATCTAGCTGTCCGAGGAAGCCAAGGAAGTGTGTCTCATTCCAAAATACTTCTGAAGCTTCCCAAGTATGTAGTATGTTTCTCCTGTGCTGCTTACCACCCTCTAAAACTTTCCCCATGGTTTGTAAAATGTATTAGTATGCCCTGATTAACTCAGGTTGCTGCTGCAATGCCTTTGTGGTTTTCCTGCCCAATGGGAATGTCACAAATGTCTGTCTGCAAGAGCTTTCAGCCATGCAGTATGCAGCATCACCTTCTGGAGCAGCTGGGTAGCATGGCAGAACACTGCCTCAGTCCAACCCAAGGTGCTCCTAAGTGGTATAGATGTTTTCATGTGTATTCATATGTATTGACTGACACACAACTGCTGTGCAGCAAGCCCCAACGAGAGACCACAATATGACCCCATACCATCCATGTTCACGCACTGTACACAATGGAATTATGTAAAGATGTGGCTAACCCCAATGTTGTAAGATTAAAGAAGTTATAGAGAACCAAGGGCAGCATCTAATCCTTTGGTAGAATTACAGTAAAGATTTGTTTCTGCAGAAAAAATTAAAGCCAAGCATTTCCAATATGGATTTATAGCCAGACATAGAAATAAGGTTCAATGTGACACCTTTGTTTCCTGAACTCGAGTCAGTTTTCTACTAGAGTGAGCTCTGTCTCCTTATGTTCACAGAAGCACCTAAAAACAACTGCCTCTGGAAAAATGTTACATGATGGGAGGCAATGCCAAATGTGTTATGATTTGACTTGGTTTCTGTATAAAGTACCTGGATATGCCTCACTTGATCTAGCTGTAATTTGTAAGAGTCCCAGCTCCTCACATCATGATAAAAAAAGAAAATTAAAGTTCACTGTGTTGGTTTCACCTTTATGGAAATGAAGGGCATCACAAGCCCCCTATTCCAAGTTCAACTTAAAATAGCTAACCAAAAAAGAAATCCTGAAGACCAATATTGTCTCAAGACTGGGGATGCAAGCTCTACTAGAGGCAGAAACTAGCCAGGATGAGAATCCTTTGTTTACTGTAAAAATTAGAGCCAGCCCACACCACAAACACATATTGTAGATAATTATGGATCTCAAATTCTTCTCAGCTAAGCACACAATTACACAGGCAGCATTTTCTGTATAATTATACATCTTTGGCATAGAGCAAATCTGCGCATAACCCTGCGCAGAATAATTCCGGATGATAGATTTAATCTCATTTATCCTATTTGCTTTCAAAAGTCTGTCACAATAAGATGGAAAGTTAAAAAGATTAACAAACGGCATCACAAGTTGTACGATATGTCAGATGCGCTTAAGCATCATTAAACAAGATCCTTTTCAAAATTCAAAAACAGATAATCCTGTTTGTTTTCTGCTTTGAAGTAGGATTTGTCTGTGTATAATCATCGTAGTTCACCAGTTAAGGAACTGAAAAGGTTGGGGCGGTGGGTTGTTTAATTTAAAATCCTCTGTACAGCAGTGTGTTGTTGCATCCTGGCCAGAGGCTCAAAAGGCCATGGTTTTCAGGCTCTGCCACTGACCTGTTGGGTCATCTTGGGTCACCTCTGTGTTTCCATTTCATCATCTGTAAAAGGGGTCTAGTGATACTGACCTCTTCCATAAAGAGCCTTACAATCTAAAGACAAAAAAAAGCACTATACAAGACCTAGGGAGTATCATCGTGACAATCCTAGTGGTCCCTATGATTGCATCCGTGATTT